AACAACCACCACAAAATAAACCCAAGGAGATGAGAGGGAATTAATAAAGTCAAAGTAGACATTAATGAAGGAAACAAAAGTCATAAAACTAATAAACGAATCCAAGCATATAAACCACCCTCTAATCTAATAAAGAAAGGGGGAGGAAAGGCCGGCCGAGTGGCTCAGTTGGTTAAGAGCTCGCTCGAGTTTGAGCTCTGAGCAACAGCAGTTCGAGTCCAGCCTGAGCTGAGCAGCCGCTGAGCTGCCAACAGGTAGCAGGATGGCTCAGCTATAAAAATAAATAAATAAAAAAAATTTAAAAAAGAATTTAGAAAAAAAAAATTTGAACTTTAAAAAAAAGAAAGGGGGAGGAGAGAACAAATATAAAAGAAATAAAGGGGGAAATAGCCACAGAGAAAATTAAGACTAAGAGGCTACTATCTCAGCTATGCGAGTTGACTTAAAATCCCAATGACTAGGATAACTTTCTAGAGAAATAAATCAAAATGGACTCGAGAAGCAATAGAGAATCTATACAGAGCAATACTTTAGAATAAATTGTCAAAGAACAATCAATAGTTTTATAGGGGGATCCTAGCAAACCTTTAAAGAACAAAAATTCAAAAGATAAATTGTTCTTAATTTAGAAAATTATTTTTTTCTGAAACAAGCATGACATTGATAAGAAAATCTAAGAATGCTCATACACACATCTCCAGACAAACAGCATGTGGAGGACAGCAATATAATTAACCCAGGGTTCATCATAATATTCTACTTCTCTGCATATGCTTAAAGTTTTCCATAGTAAAAGCTAAACAATTGTTTACTCAAAGAGAAAAAAATGCTATCTAGATACCATTTTTCACTTATCCAAAGTTTGTCAACAATGTGGTGAACGTGTAGGAAGATAGACACTCTTAAACTTCCAGTGAGAGGATAAACAGACAACCTCTACGGAAAGCAAGCTGACAATGTTTATCAAAATTTCAAATGCACATGCCCTTTGATGTAGTAATCCCACGTTTAGGAATTTGTCCTATATATACACTCATGAAATGCCGCTGTAATTCACTGTAGCAGTGGTTGTCATAGCAAAGACTCTAAACAACCTACTAGCCATCAACAGGGAGTTGGCTAATGAATTATATAGCACACTTATATAAACAAATTCTCAGAAGCCATAAAAAAGAAAAAAGTTCTGCAGATACAGATATGGAAAGCTAAGGCATTAAGCTTAAAAAGCAAGGTACAGACAAAAGTATAACAAGCTGCTGTTGACACAAAAGCAGGGAGACTAGTGGACAAAAGTGGAAGCTGACTTTTCTGCCCTTTTGCACCTTTTGAATCTGGAACCACGTGACTATAATCTCAGACCAAAAAGAAAACCTCGTTTTTAAAAACCCCATCCTTTAGAAGGCACCACTGCCATTGTAAACTCATAATCCATTTAGATCACTTCCTATTCTTGCTATGCTTTGCTGTTTGGAAGGCCGTCTTTTTTTTAATTTTTAAAAATTTATTTTTTAATTACCATTGACATACAATATTATATTAGTTTCAGGTATATAAAACAGCATAGTGATTACACATTTATATATCTCACAAAATGATAATCCCAATAAGTCTATTACCCATCTGACACTGTAGTTATTATGTTATTAACTATATTCCCTATGTTGTACTTTACACCCCCACAACTATATTTTTTCAATTATAGTTGACATTCAACATTATTTTATATTAGTTTTATGTGTACAGTGTAGTGGTTAGACATTTATATAATTTATGAAGTGATTCCCCCCGATAAATCAAGTACCCACCTGACACCGTACATAGTTTTTACAATAGTATTAAGAAAGGACATATTTCAAGTAAAGATTGAGTTCAAGGAACTTTTATTAAATTTTAAGAGCATAGAGATAAAAGGCACACAGATGGAAGGGGGACAGTACTCTAGATCCAGAAGGTCATCTCATTAATGGTATGCAACCCTGGTTATGCTTTAGAACAACATGAGGGGTTTTCTAAAAATACCAATACCCTGCACCCTACCCCTGACTGTTTATATTAGAAGTTGGAGTGATGGAGCCCAGACATGCAAACTACTGATCTAAATGCTTTACAGCAGTGGTCCTCAACAGAGGGTGATTTTGCTCTCCCAGGGGACACGATGCTGTCAGATGGTTTGCTTGTCACAACTGGGCAGGGGGAGGCTACTGGTTTCTAGTGGGTAGAGGCCATGGATGCTGCTTTAGTAAACCTCCCACAATGCACAGGACAGCACGCCCACAAAAATGACCTGTCCCAAAATGTCGAGTGCTGAGACTGAGAAACCCTCCTTTAAAATAAAATCACTGCTTTTGAAGTAACAACCAGTTTTAGTCTTCACTCTTAAACAAGGAAAGTACATTAGTATAATAAAGCTTGATTTCAGTTGCCATAGAAACGACAATGTATTTGTTGACATGGGTCTAACAAATACTGAAGCATAAAATTTCATGTATATCCTTCCTTTCTCTGGTCCCTGTCCAGTGATTCTAGTCAAAAATTTATGTCCCGTTTGTAAAGTAGCCAGGGAGAAAGTCATAAAATCCTCAAAGTGGCAGCCTGAGGGTCAACATGGCCCGTGCCTCTATTTTGTTTGAGCCACAGATCTTTCAAAATACACTGAATTGGTGCCAATCAGCTGCCCCTTCTGGAGCCAGCATATGCCTGGGAGTTTGCCAGTCCCCACCTGGTCCTTTAAGCATTTGAGGTGGCCCTCCCCTGTAGTTTTCTCCAATCATACACAGGCAGAAAGCCTCTTTACTCTTTCCTCCTCACTTTAAAAATATCCCCACACCCATTCTAAATTCTCAAATTCCCATATCACTTGCCAAAATGGAACTTGTATCAAGAGCTAAAAGAACTAAGAGAAAGGTGCTATTTGAGATGACCTTTGTGTGACAACTCTCTTCTAGCTGTTTTCATTAAAGGTAGGCTGCCACCTGATTCATCTCTGGGTGTTACAAACTAGGCTTGCAGTTTCTAACAATTCCACTACAATTATATATGTCTGTGAGCTTCCTTATAAGGAACAGACTTCAATTATTAGGCTTCCTCCATCATCCTACATTAGTATATCCCTCCACCCCTCCCCAAACAGGCCAGAAGCCTTTTATGGGAAATGTCTATCAAACGATTTGATACTTTTCTTTTAAAAACCTTTTCCCTTTTTCTCTGAAATTGCAATTACAGACTTTTGGAGCTGTGCTTTAGAGATTACCTGATATAATCCACACATTTTATTAATGAGGAAAATGAACTCCAGCGAGGTTCAGTCACTTAGCCAAGGCCACACTCTTGAGTTAGTGGCAGAGCAAGAATTAGAACATTTGTTTCCAGATACTGGTCCCATGGGTTTTCCACGATAACACTATGCCCTACTGTGGTTTTTCTACTCAAATGGCATCCTTGCCAAGACACCTATTAACATGGGTAGATACTAGCTGCTATAGAAATAAGTGAAATTTTGCCAAGCTATTAGAGCTATCACTTCAACTTTGAGGGTGGAAGGGAGGAATTAGGAGTTTCTCGGTTCCTTTTGCTCCTTTTATTGTGAGTTAACCTGGCTCAGTTTACCTTAACGAAAGGTTACTGATACTTTCAGAATCTTCTATAAACCGTAAACTAGAGATGGCAAACACACTATAGCAACAGTGACGTTTTCTTTCTAAACTCGGTAGTCAGCAGCTGCTTCAAACCTCTAAAATTCTCACAAGTGGCCAAAGATGGTAGCGTAAAACTACAGAAAAGCTTTGGGCAGTGAAGTTTAACATGCAAAGATCAACATCTTATTGAACTTTGACTTTTCTCATCATTCTCTGGCAAACTGGTTTCTTAAAATTTAATTTGGTCTTAACTTTAACCTATTCCTCTCTTCCTATCCCAACTTAAGTAGGGACATCACATTTTACAAGTGGAGTCTTCCCCGAGTGTTCTACCTACTCTGCACTTTAGTTTGCATGGCCACTTGACACTATCCCTTGATATTTACATAAAATTCATGAAATGAACAGACGTTAATAATGAGTTCTTTTCCCTTGAGAGCTTAGAACATCTTTGCTGCTCCATTTTATTTGCCTTTAAGGATGCTGAATTCCATTCTGATACCTGGGTGGTTTACTTTCAGGTGTTTCACAATCAGCTCCCTCGCATTTAGCAATTAGGAGTGTTCCCTCAGCAGCTGAAAAGGCACCACTCTGGGGAAACACGATCTAATTAACATAAGGTGATGGAATCTATTCCCATCTGAGCTAGGCCTCAGGCAGGATAGGGGCCGGGGCCGCCGCGCTCACACCTCAATCCGCGGAAGCGGCCCAGCAGCCCACCCGATAGGGGAGATGGTGGGTGGGACAAAAGGTTCTGGCCTGGAGGCCGGGGTTGTATCCTAAGGCTAGGAACCTACGCGTCCTCTCTTCCACAGCATCTAAGGCGTTTGCAGCCCAGGCCTCTAACTGTTTTAACATAACACTAAGACAACAACAGTTCGAGTCCTGCCGCTCCCGCCCCCCGTGAGCACCTTAGAGCCTCAGAAAAGGAACAAAATGCCATTGCATAAATGATTCGACCTCAAGGTGTTTCTAAACAGCTCTTACACAACCAAAAAAAAAAAGAATCTAAAAATAAAAACGTTAAAAAGCCACCAACATTCCGCTGGGAAGTTTTAAGGGCGGTGAGGTCTGCGTCAAGTAGATCTGAAGCTAACCATGCAGGTTTGGGGAGTCCCGCCTGGGACGAGGGTTGTGTCTGTGGGTAGGCCCCTGGCCGGTGTGCGGGTGCCGGGCCTTGTCCCTGTGCGCCCCGAAATAAGCGCCCCGGGAGAGCCCCCCCCCCCGGGCATCCCGTAGCCCCGCCCGCGGTTCCCACGACTTTGCTCTGAGGCTGCTGAGACCCGCGGCGGCGGGACCGGAAGGTAGCGGCCACCGAGCTGTGGGGACCGTGGCGACCGTGAGGACCCGCGGCCTCGCACTCACCGAAGTCCAAGAACTGCTTGATGGAGAGCGGCGATGGCGAGAAGCGCGAGTAGCGCTCGATCTGCTTCGGCACCGCCTGCTTCATCAACCACCAGAACAGCCGCATCCTCGCTGGAGCAGTGCGCAGGCCAGCCGAGACGCGCAGGCGGCAGCAGGGGCCAGTGCAGCTGAGCGGCGCGGCTCGGATGCGTTCGCCAAGCGCGCACCCCGGCCTCCGCCTCGGCCTCGGCGCCGCGGGTGCAGCCGCCGCAGCAGCAGCAACAGCAGCAGCAACTCCCGCGCCGCGGCCGGTCGCCCGCGGCTTCCCCAGACCCCGCCCACGGGGGCGGAGCCGGCCGCCGCACGTACGCGGCGCCCAAGGGGCACGGGGAGCGCGAGGGGCGCGCGGCCGCACGCGCCGACAGCTGATTGGCCGCCGCCGCCTTCGCTTTCTTTTGCCCGGAGTGCGACCGAACGTTGGTTCCTTCCTCCCCGGCTTCTGGGACGCCGCCGGGCCGGCAAGTGCAGCTGCCCTGAGTCCCGCTCCCGACTGGGTCCTCCGTAGCCTAAAGGTGGCGGAGATACAGGGGGATTGAGAGGAGGCCTGGAGCCCACGTGAGGAATCTGACCCTACACGCCGCTCCAAGCCCCTCTCAACCAAAGTCACCTTTTCCGGGAGGCCTACGCGGGATCAGCTGGCCGTTGCGCTTGAGAGTGTTTCATCTTGACACTTCGATTTTCATGTTGTTTGCCACTTAACTATAGTGGCTGTTTCATGGCCTCCACTGCCACTGTCACCACCTTTGGGCAGAAGGAAATGTAAACTCACTGGTTCTGCTTCATGCCCGCCCCTTACTATTGGGCAGGATTCATTGTAACGTCACCGACTCTTTGTGTCACAGTCCCCCGGGCCCCCACCT